TTTCACGGCTGAAAAACAAAACAACAAACTTGATTAAAACAACAACAACATTGTTTTGCAAAACAGCATGTAGTTCATAATCCTGTTAAGTTAATCATAGTCTCAGAATTTTGTAAAATCATTTTGCTAGTATTACGCTAGCAGCAATATTCGTTCTGAAGATAAGCAGCCGCGAAGAGTATATCAATGCTGAATGATCTGTGTGCAGTTCTCTTGACTCACTCATACTATCAGCTCTAAGCACTGGGATTACTTTGAGCCTTTCGTCTTGATTTAGAAGAAACTCTTCAGAAGCACCACCCAAACAAATTGAACAGTTTCGTTCATGTGGTGGCTGAGAGCAAGTCACGAGGAGCTATTGTTTTAGTTCTTCATTCAGTAACAAATGATGAGCAGAAACGTGCCAATGTGTGTATCGGATGGGATGCGTCGATTCCTTCGATGGAACGTCAAATACGGTATTGGATAGCCAATCACTGAACATCGCAGTGTGATGCTCATTCCGTTCTGTTCGAATGTTAATGGCTCAATAAACATTGGCTCCTCACCAGCCATGTCCTCCTCTGAAAGCAATCGTTCAACGTTCAGCAATTAAATGATTTGAACCGAAACTGTGACCGATCGATGATAGACTTTCAGGATGCGGCGATGTGAATACGTGAAAAAGGTGAATGAATTGCAAAACTAATCAAATTTGAACCAAACGTTGTGATCTAAGAGAATTCCATATCAACACTATATTTGATAGATATCCATTATATCTTTTCATGATTTCTTTCCCAGTCGTCCGCTTCTGAGAAAACAGAGAATTCCATTTTGAAAAGCTCAGTGATGAGGATAGATCTGCTAGGTCAGTGGTTCTCATAGAGGGTGAAATTACCCGTTTTGGGTAATTTGGAGGTGAAGGGGTAATGGAGGGGTCGGGAAATTAGAAAAATCGATCTCATGAACAGTGAAACGTCAGGAACAAACGGTTTTCCGTTATAGCATCTGATCATGAGTGAAAGTAAAGTAAGTATGAAAAGCAATGTTTTGAAAATGACCGTGAATGAAAAGTTGTACACTGTCGGATGCAACTGACGTACTGCTGATTGCTAAGCACGAAATCTCGCCCCTATCGGCAACGTCACAATCGAATATCTCTAAATAGTACTGAGATCCTTTACCGGATAGTCGATAACGACCACTGTTCGAAATCTCCTTCTCGCCGTTATACCACTTCACGTCCACCTCAGCTTCCTCTAGAACATTTTTCAGTTTCAAAGGTGTCTTCTAACTTCAGAAGAGATGATCAATTGCAATTTTGACGTTCAGAAAAGAGCTCTGCAAAAATTTAGAATGAAATTATCGATTGAAACGAACAAACTGATTTTGATCGAATTCACTCTGATGATGTATCACAATCGTCTAGATAAAAATCAGATATTCTTCAGAGAAGTTTTTATAGACGTTTGAAAACATAGTTTAAAATATGATTAGTATCTGAGATGAACCTGAGTGTATTGAACTCGTAATGGTGACCAATTCACCGGTACGGACGTGAATCTCTCGATGGACTATACGAACCGACAGTTCGGTTGTCAGATCGCTTGCCTCCTCCTCACAGCTTTGTTCACTAGTTTGCGAATGATCACCCTGCAAGATGAATATCATTGAAGCTCCAGTCAATTTGATTATGATAAAGCTAATCAAATTTCACTATTCTCGATCATTTTTTGGCTTCCTAGAACTTTAAACTCCAATAAAACGTCAAAGTGATGAAATCTTAAGGCTGAGTGTTATTTGGAAAGCTAACTCCCTTTTTTGATTATTATTTATTTTCTTCCGATTACTTTTTCGATTATTATTATTATCATAGCAATTGTTAACGAGCATGAAGAACTTCATCGATTCCAGCAAACTAACAATAAGGAAGAATTCAACAAGAAAATTGATGATTTACAGAAAGATAAAATAAAGCCATGTGAGATTATTTCCGCACCAGAGATGGCGATGATGAGATAGAGTTTCGGATATTTCGGATCGGCGGTAAATTGAAGCGTTCAGTTGACTGTGCGCGACTGACCACCTCAGCTCTTGACGCATACCCCCGTCGTATCGGCCAGTTACGCTCTGACGATGTTCCAGCAACAGCAAAATTAGCCTGAACATCATCGAAATCCAGAAATGTTTACTTATCAATCTAACAGTCTCTTTGACAGTCTTGAAGTTCTCTAATGAACATAATACTTAAGATGAGAAGTTGAATTAACAATTGCAATGGTTGCGTCCTTAACAGAGCTCAGCTATTCTTCGGACAGTTTCATCTAAGAACCAAGGCTATTCTCGGAGGTTCTAGGAAAGCAGTGAATGACGACGATGAAAACCACGTGTTCGATGTTACTATAGAATGGACATGATTTCCTATTGTACACTGTTGGTACTGTTTTTTTGTTTGCTAAGTTAAACTCCTACAAAGAAGTTTTAATATTCATGTGTGATAAGCATTATAAGAAATGTGCGACTTCATTCACATTGATATTGTTTGCTATGATTATTCACATTTGAACTCTGAATTTTATTCCATTGTTGTTATGCTAGTTCACTGTATTCCTAGACAAAGTCATGCATGTATGATTAACGATTTTGGTTATGTGACGTATTTGCTGACGTTTTTCGAATGTTTACAGTGAATACTAGAGCAGTGAAAGCTTACAATGGATCGTCATCACTTCAATGTAATCTATGATCTTATAGAGATGATCAGACAGCACATGATAATTCTATCAATCAACTGCTTGAAAATTCAATAATCGAAATTTTATCACTATTGCTCAACAAATCATTAATGATGCTTTTCTCATGGGCATCACAGTCCATTTTGTTACATTCGAGTTCAGTCGTTAGGACGGATCAATTTTCAGCGAACAACCACTGGAATCCGGTCTTTTTCGAACGAAAAATTTTCGTGTGAGGCGAATTCGTTGGAAAAAATAAACTTGAGCTGTTTGATTTCAAAAATGCCGCTCTTGGGAATTTGATCTCACCGATCTGACAGAAGAATAACGATTGCGGAATGGTTCATTGGTCAAGGATGATGACATCTGAAGAGTTCGGTGCACACGTTGCGTATTTCGTGCTACCTGAAAAATTT